CAAACCAAAACAAATTATTCAGTGTTATCTGCTGTTCTATGGAACTAGTCCGATTACTACTGCTTAGCAGTTGCCTATGAACATCATCGTTGTGGACACATTTTTGCCAATCGACACCCGCAACGCTCTACAGACATCGAGGATCAAAGACTTGAAGGAGCCTCCAAACGGATGGCCCAAGTCTCACCATGATATAGTAGGACAAGGTTTACCGTTGCCGTGTAAACACGGCATTTCAGAATGAGAGAAACCCCTTTCGGACGCCACAGATGTCGCAGATTCAGTAAGACGGTGCTACCTTTTGCAACACATAAACGGACGTCAGTGGTTAGGTGCCGATCAGTGCTGATGCAGCTGCCAAGGTAAGTGAACTGATCAACTACCACGAGTTTCTTGCTATGAAGAGTCCTTCAACAACAGTTTGCACTTTGAAGGGGCGAAACACATGGGAAATGAAGGGACCACTATAGAGAGCTTATACAAGGTTGACTGGGCCACCCCAACATCGTCAAACAGCAACACAATATCGCTCGCATCATCAAAATCAACCAGCCTCTCAGCAGGCAGCACCTCAACACCCGCATTGTGAGATTCTGTGATGGAGTCCAGGGCGAAATTGAACAAAAAGAGGAAACTAAGCAGCGGTGACGAACACCACTTGTCGGGATGATATTGGACATGTCACCGCAGACCCTGACGCGGCTTGTGATGTTCGAGTATAAAACAAGTGAAATACTCACGTATTGCATGGGAACAGAACAGAACTGACTGACTCAAATGAACTAGTTAAGTCTAGGAACACAGCTATTGTCGGTCTGCGGCACCTGTAGTCTCGTTCTAGCAACTGACACAGGGTGAATATATGGTCTATACAGCTTCGTCCTAAGCGGAGAACTGCCTGCTCTTCTCTAAGCCGGGATCCCCGTTCCACACTGAGATGATGAACAAGAATTAAGGTTAGTACTTTTGTCAAAACCAGTGTTAGGTTAATACCTCTGTTATGGGGACCCAACGTCCCTACAATTATTACAGGCTTAAATTACGAAGGGCTGAAAACCCGATTCACACAAATGCACATGTACTCGGATCAGACAAAACGCACACGTTCAATCAGCCTTCCAACTGGTGAAACACTCACATTCGTTTAGTCTTTGCACCCAGAAACAGGCACGTTTCCAACCAAACACTCATTGTTGTATCCAAGCAACATTTATTTTCCGGACAACTCTCGCCAAACTTCCAACATTCCTGCTCAGTTTACGGACTTTTGCATATTTACATAAAACCATGTTCCTTGCTTCCAGGGTTTGCTTACGCAAACCCTTCCAAGGGAAAACCCCCTTCATCACCGTTTCGTGATATAAAAATGAGGCTGTACAACGCTAGAATCGCCTTAGCTTTGGCCAGTAAAAGCGCCTGTGGCAAAAAGGTCTGTCTTGTTCTTGATTCTTCTTGGGTTGGGAAATCGTGCGTAGAAACTTTGCGTTCGGTCTAGGAACCCGTTCGACTCGCGTGAATTAATCTTTCGCGGCTAAGTCCCGAGAACCCACAGACTTCGAGATTTGTCAGTTACCGTGCTGTGCGAGAAATAATTCTGAGTCTCGTTCGTTCATCCGACTAGGAGAGTTGGTATCACATTGTTAGGACCTGACGTATTCAAGAGGCAGTATTCAACAACCTCTGTTTCTAGCAGTCAGAGAGAAGACTATTCTTGTATATTGCCACAAGCTTCATTCCAGAAAGCAGCGACGGACTCATCCTTCCGACCTGTTCGAACAGTGAGGTCAGTGCTTCGTAAAGAACCTCACCGCCGTCCTTAAATGTGCGGGTGAGAGCGAATCCTGGCCAGCAGCTCGAAAGCGATTAGGGACTGTGATTGCATTTTGGACCTCAATGCATATAAAATGACCGACAATGACAGCCTGTTCCACCTGAGTAGGAAGAGAGCCAGGAACAGGAGGCCAACTGAACTGAAAGTCCTCCGCCTAAAAAGACATGGCACTCCATATTGTGAATCATCACACACGCGCTGTCTCTGTCTCGCTGACGCCTAGTTTTCTGGGACCAGTGGTGCGGATCAGTTCGAAGAGCTTACGAGAATCGACTACTGTACCTGACTCCTCCATTTTTTGAGCTCCACTAGTTCACCAGGCTTCCTTGTCAGTGCGCAGGCGCCGCTTTAGCTCGAGGCTAATAGTCCGTCTGGTTAAATTGGGCTCAAAGCCAACCAGAACTTTCCTTATGGATTCCAACGAGCTCACAGATCTATCGGATATCCAGTGACTGGTGCGGTGATGAGTTGTACGTCCACAAGCAGAGGTTCTGGCTTCGTGCATGGTGACAGAGAACTTTATCGATCGAAGCGCGGTGTCGTTAGATCGAGAGAGCGAAAGTTCCGTATGCAGGGCATCTTGGCGGGTTTGTGTGACCTAGGCCTGGAAGAACTTGTCAGTTAGAGATCGAGGGAGACGCTTGGTACGCACTCCGGCAAAGTTCACGGTAAAACGACAGCGTACAAAGGCATGATCAGGGTCGATGCAAGGGATTCAGAAAGAACGACAATCCAGGATGGAAGCACGCCACCTGTAACTTTTGCCAATATGATGTAGTTGGGTCCATCTCCGGCTAGGTACACGAAGACGCAAAGTGGCAATTCGGTGCGCACTGTGTCTAAATTTGGTGCAACTAAGAAACAACTGGTGCTTTGCACAGTTGCAGAAGACGTTCGTCGTTGTCAGGCCGTACGAAGTTAAAGCACATAATTACCCCCTAGCTGAGCTTCTGAGGAGCCCAGACGAACTACTTGTGCATTCATATCCACAAGACGAACTAGTACAGATCTGAACTGGTGACACTGCGTAGTAGCGTGTTCAGTTTGTGGTAGAATGTTCTTGGCAGAACTGCAGCCGGCAGGAACATAAGCGGAAACCACAAACAAACAGCGTCTTGTGCTACTTCGTGAATTAACCCTTCTTGATGTCATCAAACGGACTGCACACAAACACACCCAATCCACCAACGATGACACAGCCTTAGAGTTAAGAACAATGTGCACTTCATCTTGACTTGTGGTTGCCGCGTCAGCGTCTCCGGATACGTGCAAGCAGTGGCGGGAGGGCAAGCCGGGTGTAGTTAATTCAAGAACCCCACTGGGGTCATTGATACAAGTTTCGGACACGCAACACACGTCAATACCCATGGTGGTCAACGTGCGTGCGAATGAGGACTGTGGATCTATTTGTCTTGGAATGTGCCACCAGGGAAACGGGACAGCGTGGCCTTACAAGGGGCTGTGAACAATGAGCCTCCAGTGGATAGTGCGGGAAGGGGTCTGCAGGTTGTTCCATTCTAGTGGCACTTCGGTTGCTGTAAACTAAGCTGGGAATCACAGAAGGAAAGTTAGTAGCAGGAGTGGGGATGGGATCAAGAGAAACAAATGGAAAAGAAAGAGGGGAGACGCCAGCAATAGCAAGTGTTCGCTTATCCGCCCTGCTGCATGCAGTAGATAAGGTGACCCTTGATAAGCTGCGCTAGGCCTATGCAGATCGTAGTTGAGGGCAAAGTAAATAATCATGATTGTAGGTGGGCTAATATACTGTCAGGGTGCCTAGACCTATACAGAAAAATGATTACGGTCCTGAACAAGATGTTGGCTCAGAGACGTTGTCGCCGCAAAACCGGGACGTTGCGCTGATGTGTTTCCACAGAAAGGGACTCCGTCACATATGCAGACTATACCATTTCCTGTCCTAGTTGTCCTTTTGGGCAACAGAAATAATCTGAGGGGGCATTCAACACGAGTCTACTCAATTAATTTGTTCTGTGCGTACGCCAGTCACTTGTGCAGGTGTGCGTGTATAACCCGTCGCCTTCAGCCAATTAGACCTCAGACACACTAAGTCATAGGCGTGCAGGTGGGACGCTTCAGCTCCTACGCACGGAACAAATTAATTGAGTAGACTCATGTTGAATGCCCCCTCAGATTATTTCTGTTGCCCATGAGGACAACTTGGCCGGGAAATGGTATAGAGGTCCAGAAGATTAAGGTTGTCTGACCTCTAACTATTGACCAACGTAGTAGAAGTAGCTTTCAAAGGACCCGGGGACACCAACCAATATGGCTCAATGGGTAGAACATGTGATGGTTGTTTAGTGATCGGTCGAACTTAATGATTTTAGTCCAGAAGTCTGAAAAATCTAGTTGATCGCTGCAGTGGTGAACTGAAGGATAGTATGCAAGCGATTTAGATCGACATAAACAAAGTTCGAAATTGACCGAGGATACAATAGTATTACTCATCCGGTTTTTGCACCAGACGCAGGCAATACTCCTCAGGCACCGGCGATCAAACACAGCGAAGCATTTAATGTTTCCCTTGCGAACTGGTCAGGTCCGTTTTCCATACAATAAGACAGACCTCATCACAGCGTTATATACACTACTTTTTACTGACATGCTGATATCTCGTCGCCTCCATAGATGGTTGATCCTCTGAAAAGCTAGACCCGCCTTGCTGATAAGCAAAGTAACTTCCTCAGTGATGTGATTACCAGAGGTGACACAGCCACCCAATAAAGCGATGCATCAATTCCATTGGTAGGTCGATAGTAGCTAAAGCCGGTGCTGTATCGGTCCAGTCTTACTAGAGTACTTTGCACTTTAAAGGTGCAAAGCACAAGCTGAGCAGTACAGCGCTGTGTGTCGGTTCAGAAGTGTCTGTAGAAGCAGCATGTAAGAGCAGAGGAGACAAATGTCGACCGTACACAATGTAGATCGGTGTACGCATCGAAGACAAAATTTTAGGATGAAGTGAGGTAGCATTTCGCATAGACATTTGATGCTGGACAGTATGTATGAAGTGACGGTGAATATCCGATAAAAGTTTGCATACCGAACAACGCAGACACACGAGCAATGCGAGAACAAATGCTGTTGAAAGTGTGCATTAGTTCGCGGTGTCATTCAGTACAGAAAATCGTATGTAAAACAAAGGACAAACCTGGAGATAGACTGAGTCGAATAGCCTCTTCGAGTGCATCATTCTCTGAAAATGAAAAATGTTCCTGAAAAGGAGGAAGTTGGGGGAGCGTAGGAAATAATTTGAATGGCCACAGAAATATACTGAAACATCAAATGCGACAAAGTCACCGCGAACACAATGAGAAAAGAGGAAATTAAATGGATTAAAACTTGGTGGGTGTGAAGCATGTCAATCTGCCAAAGTCACTTAAATCGAACAACATGGGGACAGTTTCAAAGTTGGCTGTTTCCCGCTTAAGCGAAGCCTTGTTGCCTTCTTTCACTCTCCCCGTTCCTAAAATTATCGTAATATGCCAATATCATAAATTTTCATAACTACACGTCATTACATAGGTTGTTTTATACACCTGTAGACAAATTTGAATTTATGATCCCATTTGAATTACTCCGCCTAAACGAGCCTAAATGTTTCTTGGCTGTCGTATATTTCCGTAACCTTGTTGGAACGACATTAATGATGAAAGGATTAGTGAGAAAGGAATTACGTTTGGTCTTGTGAGACAATCATCGCAATATTAATATTATGTACCATACAATTCACCATATCCACTTACCTAGAGCCATCAGCAGTACGCCGGTACCCAGTATCGACGCTTCGCTGCCGCGTAACCACCACCAATCGCAGGTGGGCTGAGGATACTGCGAGGGTCGCGCTGCCCCTAGGTAGGCTCGAACCCGCGCCGCCAGATTACGAGTCAAGCTCGTTACCTCTAGACTACGGGCAGCCATCGTTTCCACTCGCTGAATATACCTCTAAATATAATCAAAGCCGCATATACAAGGCTCGCCGGTCATAACACAGCAAGTTGCATGTGCGATTTTTATTAAAAATCTACCTTCCTACGAATACAGGCGACCGACATAAACTTTCCAAATTTCCAGGCAACTTAGCGCATAGCACCAATAAGATAGCTTGTTAAAAAACCAAAAGCACCTCTTGTTCAAGTCAACACGTCTATGAACCCCGATTCCCCGTGTGTGACTACCTGCACACACCATCGCGTGACACACTTATTGGTCATGGGACATTTGCCAATGGGACACCGGATGTAAGCACAGGACAAGACGTATGCGTAAATGGGAGACAGGAGTGCATTCCGGGCATGCTCCGGAGCAGGTTGTCACGTTGGTGTTAATGGAAGGCAGACAGGGATGAGAGTGTTAGTGCTAGAGGTCACAAACTGAAGCTGGTGTAATATTTCTCCGGTCCCGCGTTCCAAGATCTTCCGTGTCCAAATCGTAACAGACCCTCAGAGTTGCAGCCCAAAATAAATACCTCGTAGACGGCTGGACACTCAACCGCCTAGTAAGAGGCTAGATGTAAGGGAAGCAGCTAATGAAGCACTGAAGAGAGAAAGAAAAGTGCCAGAGAGGAATAAGAGTGTAAAGCTAACAGGAAGCCAAACTCATCGACCTCTTACCTGCTAACGTGTTATCGTGACGCCCGTGAAGCGGCAACACTAGTCAACCTAGGACGAGGGGTTTGAACGCTCTCCCTCTGCATCGCTTTAACACATCGGTTTGGCAGAAAGAGCTATCATTGATTCGCATTCTGGCATGGCCGGTAGCCGGTGTTCTTATAGCAAGTTACTCGCGCTTGTCCGAGTATACCGTTCCCTATCGGGAACACAGTATGTGAACTGTCCAAGAGGCACAATATTAGTGGCATATTTACGCTTCAGGTTAGTATTGCCTATGGTCGAAACAGCATACCGCTTGTTAACCAGTGTACGGCGGGACTTTCGATTAGGCGACTTTTCAAAGGAATAGTTTCGAAGTCAACACGCCGACAGTCAAGTGGCGAGTCAAATCACCGTGCATGTTGTCTAAAACTTACCACAGCATATGCCACCTGCCAATAGGCGGCTTATGGGAACTAGCGCACGTGTGCACCAATTTTATCGACACCTATGCTTACAAGGTTTTCCACCTAGTTTATCCTCATACCCTACTCACACGACAGTCACAAACGGGCTCTTTAATACATACATATATATATATATATATATATATATATATATATATATATATATATATATATATGAGATACAACAGGTCCACGGGCTATAAGCTCGTCGCTCGATTGGCGTAGAGCACGAGCGCCACGCATTGTCTCTGACGGTGGGAGGGCACCTCCGGGTGCTCAAGGGTTTGCTACTGCCCGTCTCAAGCCAGGCAGCCCCTGGTCAAATTGGCGCAAACCCGTCAAAGCCCTCCTGCGTCTGGTCGTGGTCGCAGGTGCGTATCTTACTGCGGTCACAAAACACATAGGAATCGTTCCAGTACCTCAAAGGTTGCGTGTGACGGACCTCAAGTAGATCACAACGTTTCTGCAATCACATTCACGAGCTGGATCTGCTCCCCACTGCCTTGTGGGTCAGGCTATCGAGCAAAAGACTCCGGGCGGAGTCCCACAAGCAAACTACCGAAGCACAACCAGCACCACACATGCGAGCGCCCACCAATGCAATCATATGTCTGCACACAAAGCACTCAATAATAATAATAATAATAATAATAATAATACGTATATTTCTCTTCATGAAAGAAACTGTCTAAAGCGGCACAGATCAATTTGTACAGATGTATCCATGCTCTTGCATAGGTGACATGCATCGTTGGAATATTGGGGTTTACGTTTCATGTAGTAACGTTCTGGCGGATAGTTGAGGCCAAAGCCTAGTTTTGAAAACATTGGAGTTTAGATGTTTTCGGGTCCCTCTTCGAATAGCTCAACAATGGATTTTTCCCACGTGAATATAGTGATTATGGTAGTTAGATCAAGGTAACTGGCAAGTCTGCTTCTAAATGTTGCCACATTATCACATGACCTGCGTGTTATTGGTAGTTTATTCCACAGATAGCTATATCTGACTGGGAAGAAACTAGAGCGGACGTTCGTAGTAGCCTTCGGTATATTCAGTGTAAAATCTTTGTTGCGAAGCGCTCTAGTTGGGCAATGTTGTAATTTGAATGTAAGCAGGTCGGAATACGTCTGTTTTGTGTAGCACGTTGAGAAGCAGTAACAAGTTGTGCTTCGACCGTCGAATCCACAGTGATTCGAGATGAAGTTCATCGCAACGTTCTCGATAACTCATTGCAGAGTGCATACCAATCAGATGTTTAATAAATGACCTCTGCAGGTGCTCCACAGCAATTCTCTCACTTTTCCCCATATTACTGTATATTATGCTGCAGTATTCGAGGAGGGAGCGAGTGAGTAGTTTGAAAAGCTCAAATCTAGCACGAGTTGTGTGGATTTTGTTTGCTATGTTGAACATAGACAGTCTGACACGTGGTATTTGGCCTGTTCGGAGAAATTGAAGGTAGACGAGTAGCTAATTCCATGATCTCGCGTGGACAGCTGTGTAGGGACGCATTCATTGTTTAGAGTGATAGATCCTTCGGGGATGCAGTAGCCGTAAGACATGTGGCTTGATTTCTTAGCCGAGGTTCATCACCCATGTGCAGCACCATGACTCAAGGGAATGTAAGTCGTCTTGAATGAACAGTAGTGACCCGTGAAGCTCGTCAAGCCGAAGCTAATAGAGGATTTTGATATCATCAGCAAATAAAAATGGCATACCATGTTTTACAGATGTGGTGATGTCATTAATGTGGAGCAAAGAGAGTAGGGGGTCGAGCACGCTCCCTTGAATGACTTCACTGGTGACTGAGCGTGGAGAAGAGCGATAATCACGTAAAGTGACTATCTGATGACGACCATTCAGGTATGACGATAGTCAACCTAGTAATGGGTCCCGGATCCTAAAGTTCCCCAACTTTTGTAACAGTCGCTTGTGCGGTACTTGGTCAAACGCTTGGTGTATGTCAAGAAACAATATTACTGCTGCATAGCTGGAATCGATTGGTTCTAAAATGTGGTTTAAGTAACGCAGCTGACAGGTGGTGCATGATCGCTTGCTAAGAAAATCATGCTGCGAATTACTGATCAGGCCAATAGAATCAGCAAACTTCACGAATAGTTTTTCAAATAGCCGAGCGATTATCGGAGTGTAGTATATTGGTCGGTAGTTATCAATTGTTTGTTTGAGACCTCGTTTATGCAGAGGCATAATGAATGACGTTTTCCATTGGTCTGGAAAGCGGCCAGCTTCCAGCGATAGAATAAACGTGCTCATCAGGAGCGGTGGTATACCACACCCTTCTAGTTTAATGGTGGTTGGTGTAATGCCATAATATTCCAGGTTGGAGGATGGCCTGATCGATTTGATAACTTGATGGATACCGAGGAGCGAGTTGTCGACTCTACTTAAAAGGGTTGTTTCTGTGAGCTCTGTGTACACAGGCACAGTGTCAGCTTCGCGACTCATGATAGTGACAAAAAGGTCACTGAATGCTCCACAAATTTCAGCTTAGTCATGGAATAATTGACACACACGGACAAAAATTTCAATAATTAGAGGACAGCGGTCACTGGTTCTACGATGCAGTATTTTGACAAGCTCCCTAGCTTTGTAGCGTGTCTGTAGGGCTATATGTTCCTCAATTTTTTGTCGTGTTAATTGCACATGTTTGACTCAGTTGGTAAATTCGTGCATTTGTAGGATAAGTGAAAAGTCATAGGTCATTCTGTATCTTGCAGCAAACTTTCTGGTTTTCTTGCAGATTAAGTGCCCGACGGATTCTTTGGAGACATGAGGAATATGAACACATTGTGCAGCAAGGAGAGCCATAGTGTGATGAATTGGTTTATAGAACTGCTCCACAGCGGTTAACAAACTGGTAGAGAGGAAAAATACACCCGAGAAACATCGGAGAAACGGATGAAGCGCTGAAAGCATTCCCAGTTTATCTTATCAGTTGCAATTGGCAATGTAGAGGCGAGTTTAGTGACCATCGGGTGCAGAAACGTGCGCACACAACGGGACGGGAACTCAAATGAGCGCCCAGTGAGGCACCGCACCGGTCGCGATGGAACTGACGCGTTACAACATCGATATTGCGGCGCTCAGTGAAACCCGGTTCGCTGAGCAAGGCCAGTTGCATGAAGCTGGTGCCG